AAAACATCGTTCAAAGGAGAAGTGAATACCCATGGCGGAATAATACTTTAAAAGAAACCAGACATAGCTCGTGGCAGAGATGATAACCAACTAAAGAAGATTTAGAGGACAACGAAAAACAGCAGCAAATAATTTCATGGAGAGCTGCCCTCCATCTGTCTCTTTACTAATATTACAAAGCTAAATATGCCATTCTTAATTGTCCAAGACAGGAAAGGAAAACCCAGGTGGTGAACAAGATAAAATTTCCCTTATAATAAAGAAAATATTTACAGAAATAATAGAGAGAGATATCGCAGTGAGGATCATTACCGAACGCCTTAGGTATAGGAAGCAATAAAAGATTGATCGCTGATCTATCCAACTACGGCCGTGATGGAGCAGGATGTGATCAGACTTTAACCGGAGAGAGACGATCACCGGAGGCAGAAGGGGAGAGGAAAGGGCCTTGGATGACTGGATGAAGGACAGAACTCTCCCAACTGCTAAGGAATTATTGAGTGAAAGTGCCACGTGGCGCATTTCCATTATATGTTGAAAAGATCGCTATGCTAAAGTGGAATATTCATTTCTTATTGTCCATTTTTTTCTAATTACAAGGAAAGAAAATGAATTGCAGATTCTCCCTATGCTTAGGGTTGTCTTCGGTTTTCAAACATGGCTGCAGCCAAGGCGCGCAGGGCGACTCTTTGGGACACAGGGAACGGTTCCGTTCCAAAATAATATTAATCAATATTGAAACCTTAATTATTTAATTAAGAAAAAATTATTAATCTTTTTATAGTTAAAATGTTTTTTAATTTTTACAAAAACTGATATAACACTAGGAAATAATTTTTTATTAATCAGTATTTGGAGATATTTCCCATAAAAAAGATGAAAAGAAAAAAATCTGATCTCTAACCAATAGCTGCCACCTGTACACATCAGGGAAATGAATGTTATAAGTAAACTTAACTATTGTTTTTTAAATTTAAATTAAGTGTTATATTAATTACTTAAATTAAAAATATAGTATTTATATCCTCAAATTTAATATATATTTTGATGCAACTTGTTTAATTATTTTTTGATCATTTAGTTAGGATAAATTTGTTATTAAAAAATTTAGGTAAAATTTATAATTTTTCAAAAAATATAAACAATTTCATAATTTTTTTTTTTTGGTGTGAACCACGGATTGCTTATCAAAAAAATTTAATTTAAAATTAAGAAAAATTACACTATCAAATACTTGGGTAATTATTAGTTATTTACCACTATATCTGCATAGGTTTGAGAAAAAAAGAAAAATTATTTTATAAATCAAAAAATATAATTAATTTACATTTTTTATAAATCAAACTTTAAATTAACTGTATAAACTTCAAAATTATTTGTTAAAAAAATCCTTTCAAAAGTCTAATTGTTTTTAAACCAAATTCAACTCCAAAGTTGAATGGATTTTTAAAAAATTGTACATTTTGCTTTTTTAATAACAAATTTGTCCTTCTTAAGTGAAAAAAACTAAAAATTGATAAAAATATTATATTAAAATATACATTAATTAAAAATATTAATATTATATTGTTATCTTAAAAAATAATAAAATACTTAATTTAAACTTAAGTAACATGATAAAAATTACTCTACATATTACAGATAGAAAAATACAATATATATATATATGTATATGTAATGGGTTTCGGATTTCCAGGATTTTTTTTTTTGGGGGGGGGGGGGGGGGGGGGGGGGTGGCCTCCGAGGAAGATCGTCCACGGGTCTCCCAAAACAACAGTTTCCTCTAATCGGACGTCAGGTCATTGTCCAACCCGGATCCAAACCGGACATATACATTCATATGCTTGTAGCTGTTATCTCCACGCCGTGTCTAAGCTAGGGGGTGTTTGTAATGGGATTTCAAAAGGTACGACTTTTTTATTTTTTTCTGAAAGAAGAAATTAAAAATTTTGAAACTCTATTTTTTAAGCGCCGAAAGCAAGCAAGTGAAAACTACAGACAGCCAGCACACACAGCCCGAGACTTCAGAACCCATAAGCCAGTTTTAATCAGCAAAATAACGAGGAGCGGAGGAAGAAAGCTTCCAAGAAGATTGTTACCTTCTACAATATGCAACACAAGGCCGCGATCGGCAAAGAGAGGCCGAGCCGACGTCCGCGATCGAGCAGGACGAGGACGATCCACAGAGAGAGAGAGAGAGAGAGAGAGAGAGAGAGAGAGTAAAGGAACTGAGATGGGAAGAGATGTGGGGTGACGACTGGAGGGATAGAAGAAGCTTTCCGACAGCACAGATTCCTTAAAAGTGAACGCTACGTGGCGCAAGTCTATTAGGTTTCAAAAAGATAATAATTGAAAGCGTAAATGACTGAATAAGATATTGCAAGTGTTAGTCAAAGGTGACAACTGCCCTGTACCTTAAAGGAGAATGCAAATTTAATTATTAAAAAAGTATTTTTTAAGAAAAAATTCAACTCTTCAAATTATTAAATTTTTAAAAAATTAATCTTAAGTTAAAATTGATTTAGAAATATCATTGATTTCATAAAAAAAGTAAGATATTGATATACAAACTGAATAATTGATTATGCCAAATTTGATATTAAGATTATATAAAGTGAGTTAAAAAATTATGTTAAAAGAAAATAAAATTTGTTATTGAATTATATTAATTTTTTAAAATAAATTCTAAACATTTTTATTTCTCAAATTATGTTTTTAATAAATTTTATTCTTTTTAAATTCCAAAACTGCGACGTGAGTTTAACCCCCACCAATCCATTGACAACAAACGACTTCAATTAGAACAGGCTTAAAGCCAAATATCAAAAAGGCCCTAACCCTATCATTAACTCGGTGGCAAATGGTTGAGAGTGCATTACAGTTATTAATGTATGTTTTAATGAAATATAATATTTGATAGAATAAGAATAGAATAAAATTAAATAGAATTAAGATTTTTATAAATATATTTGATACATATTGATAGAATAAAAATTTTTATTTCTTTATTATATTTGATATTCTATAATAAAAGTGAGAAAGAAAATAAAAAAATGTTTTAAATATAAAAATACTCTTTACTAGAATAATTAAATAAAGTTTATTTTTAACACATTATAAATATAATAAGAATTGAAAAGTTGCAAATTTTATATTTTAACTTAAATATTAAATGTCAAAACAAATAATTCAATAATACAATATTATTATAATATATATATATGAATTATTAAAACTTTATAAATTGACATCTGATTTTTTTAATAATTTAATTTGTTTATTTTTAATTTTTTTCTAAATCTCAAATTATTAACATATTATATAATTTTTAGTAAGTCTAATTAAAAATATAAAAATAATAAAAAATTTTATATTTAGTTAATGAAATGAATCACCGTTCTTTCGACAATAAAGGTTTCTATTCTAATAAACATATCAAATATGATTTTATAAGATTTTATTCTTTTTCTAGTCCCTCAGATTTGCCAAATTTTAGTTTGCCCCAGATATTTTTACACTTGTCTACACATCAACGGTCATGTCAACAAAAACTTCTCACTTCAAGGTAGTATCACTGATCTGGTAGTTGGATCCTAGCCTGCTACACTTTTATTAAAGAATGAGACTTTTTTTTTTAATTATTAGAGGAATAAGAAACTTATAACAATGAACTTCTATTTACCCATAAATAAATAAATATCATGTCATTTTTAACATCAAATTTATGGATAATTGAATAAAATGGTCATCTAATTTGGAATTAATTAATCTTAAAGATTTGATCACTATGGTGATTAAGAAATCCAACTTAAATTAATTTCAATTTCTAAAATTCAAATAATTTATTATTATTATTTATTTTTAAATAATAATAAAGTCATATCAATTCAACATCATAAAAAATTAGCTTCATTCAGAATTGCTTGTAAAAGTACAAACATTTTTGTAAACTAGTTTCACATTAATGGTGATTTTATATTTGATCACATTGATCTGCTCTAGTCTCCATGTATATTATTATTTCTTATGCCACTTGTTTACACATCATAGGTCATGTCAACAAAAACTTTTGACTTCAAAATAGTATCGCTGATCTAGTAGTAGAGCACTACCCTGCAACACTTTTATTAAAGAATGAGACTTTTTTTTTTTTTATTATTAGAGGAATAAGAAACTTAGGGTAGGTAACAACGTAAATATTACAAAGACATGATTTTGATATCTCAATATGAGTTAAATGAATCTCTTCATTTTAACATATGTTAATCAACAATATAATGCAACGGATTAAAATCTTAATATAGATTCATAAAAATTAAGAGAAAATAATATCTTCAATGAAAAATCATAGATTCTTAAACCACACTCTAATACTATATGTAAATTGATAAAGTCTAAATTTTATAAATTTTTTAGAATTTTGAAACACGTGATTTTCACTGTAGCAATAACAATAGTGTAAATTTTAAATACATATCTTGATTCGCAATTAAATGTTTGAGGTACTTGAGAAATAGACGAGAAACTAATTTTTATTTTTTAACTCTCTTAGAGACTTCTTTCTACACAAGTAATGGTGGGAGAAAAAGAAAACATAAGATTGAATAAGAATAAAATCAGTTTTTATATAAAAATACCCATAAAATATTAACTTTTATCAAATTAACAATTATGTATTAAGAAATTACTTAACAATTATTTTTTTTTTAAAATAACTACTTATTCATTGTAATCAATTAAATTTTATCACTTTATATATATAAATATTTATTAAATCTTTAATTATATCATATTTGTCCCAGTCTCCGCGAGTCATTACAGTTTTACATTAACGAAGCTCACAAATTTAACCAACTAGTCAAACAAAGACTAGAAAGAAAATCATTTCTAGTTTTTGTAGGACTCCAACCCCATAATAATTTGCAAGATCTGCTTAACTATTCACCTCAAGTTTTCTTTATTTCCTCTTCCTCTTCCTCTACGTCTTCTTGTTTTCCTTCTCAGCCCAAATTTGTAAGTATTGCACGGGTAGCAGGGGAAGTTCTTGTCACCCCGAAGCCATACTTGTTTTCGTAACCAGGGTAGTCGGCGCGATTGAAAGGCACCTCCTTTATCAGCCTGAGGCCTTCACTTGATCCTAGCTCCTCGAGCTGCCACTCCTTGTAGGAGCGACTCGACTTGTGGGTTATGTGGATTTCTCCCCGGCTCCCCATCATCTTCTTCGCATTCGCCATGAACAGCCGCACCAGCTCCCTGTGTCGCCTACAACCAAGAATTATTGATAATCTGTAAAATGCACCCCAAATTAAAAAATATTGGTACTTTTACACCCTAGTAAAGCAAGGACAAAAAGCTCTAGGTGTCAATTTTTCTAATTTAGAAGTCTATTATACAAATCACTCATTATTTTAAATAGTGTATCAGTTGCACGAGAATAATGTATTTGCATGAGCTTAAATACAAGTAAGCAAATAAATATGATAACAACCAAACCCCATAAATTAAACTTTGGAATAAATTTAGTACTTTCTAGATTGGCAGAGTTATCAAAGTCGGGGATTAGAAAGGGGCAGCGGCAAGCATTCAAGGTGTTGAAGTACTCAAAAGTAAGCACAGGCCACTTACCGAAGCACGGACTCCGCGGACTCGTTGTGGAAAAACCCAGAAAGGGGGAAATTGAAGATTATACGATCGAACTTGCGGTCTCGGAGTGAAGGATGAGTAGCCATCTCTGTTGCATCCACTTCGTGAAGGACCTTGGCTCCCCGGCTAGTTAGCTTTTGGATGTTAGACATTGCGTTCCGATAATTCTTTCTCAAGAAGCTGAGTGTTCAAAGATTAGTATACATGTTTTATTCAATAGTCAAATGGGTTAAGCCAAAGCACGGTTTGGGTAGAAATATTTCAGTAGTGTGGTTATTACCTTTCTGTATTGAGAGAAGTAGCAACGATGTTGGAAGCGAAGCCAAAGTCCATGGCCAAACTAGCAGAGAAAGAGAAGTCGCCGTCACCCACCAGCAGTATGCTTTGGCGACTACTGTAGTGTTTCAACGATCTCTCCCCGGAACTGCGTGTGCTAGACCGAGGGAGGACGAAAAATCGCCTTCCCCGGAACTGCGTGTGTCTTGGAGCTTGGTCCGCCAACACTAGGTTGAAGCCTTTGTTGGATATGAAGCCTTCAAATGAAGGCTTCAATTGAACTTCAAATGAACTGTACGTTCCCTTACGTTCAGAAAAACTTAGTTGGTTGAGAAAAAAAGGTGGACTAACACAAGTAATAGGAACCAAAAACCCTAGAATACCCATTTGGTTTCCCCAAACGCGCCCAAATCTATTGTACTTGTTAGTACCAGTTTCAGCTTCACAGAATCACAAAATCAAGACGTTAACTCCTCTCTCTCTCCCTCCATAAATTCCTCCTTCATACCGCCATTAGCGACTTATGTTATTTTGTAGACATATAATAGTGGTTGGGATGTTTATTAATTAGTTCACGATTAGAGCATTAGTGTTTACGTGAGACTCGTTAGAGTTGACCCATTTAGGCTTAACGCAGGTCACAATCCGGGGTTTGGGTCATGGAATATTCGCTCTAAATGAGGGCAATTGTATTGTACCAAAGCATCCAAGATGCACATGGACTGGGTGCTTAGATGATTTTCCTAGAGTCAAGTCCACCTTTTCTTCTCAACCAACTACGTTCAGTTTGATTTTAAAATAAAAGTCAATCAATTTTTTTTTCTACAAATTAGAACTTTTAATGGAAGTATGGTTTTTATTTTGAGAATTTTTTGTAATAAATTTGATTTTATTTTTTTAAAAAATTATTTTTTTATAGAAACTAAATTTTATAAAAAAAAACCCGTTTTTTATATCGAGACAAAAATTTAAAGCTTTTCCAATAACAAGCACCTCATAATAAGTATGTCCTAATAATTATTTTTTCTCTATTTGTTCAAACATGTTAAAAGATAATAACTGAATTTTAGTGAAATATTTCAAATTTTATGGTTTCATGACTGCTGTAAATTCTACCAGTCTTATTTCTCAAGGGAACAATTTTTTTTTGGTAGAAAATGATAAGGTCAATTTGTAATCTTCTATGTAAATTAAATTTTTGTTTTCCTAACCTTTGTGTTAGATATGCTCATAAAAAATACGAACGTGGAAGAAAAAATTTGAATGAGCTTGAATCTCTGGGCCGTCATTCTGCACGAAGTGGATACCACCACAATGAGCGTGAGCAAGGATCTGCATGCCAGCAAGTTTGATAGAATAATATATAATTTTCCTCATGCCGGGTTTTATGGCAGAGAGGATAGGATAGACATTATTGAGTGAGTATTTTCCTTATTGTTTTTTGTTATTTTGTTTTATTTTAAAGCAATCTTCATCTTTGACGTTTTGTATTTGATATGCAGCATCCATAAAAATCCGGTAAATGGATTCTTCAGTAATGCCAGCCGCATGCTGAAAGGTGTATCTATATATAAAATGTTCAGTTTGATTTTAAAATAAAAGTCAATCAATTTTTTATCAACAAATTAGAACTTTTACTGGAAGTATGGTTTTTATTTTGAAAATTTTTGTAATAAATTTGATTTTATTTTTATAAAGAATTAATTTTTTTATAGAAACTAAATTTTATAAAAAGCCAGTTTTTTATATCGAGACAAAAAATTTAAAGTTTTTCCAATACCAAGTACCTCATAATAAGTATGTCCTAATAATTATTTTTTCTCTATTTGTTCGAACATGTTAGAAGATAATAACTGAATTTTAGTGAAATATTTCAAATTTAATGGTTTCATGACTGCTGTAAATTCTACCATTCTTATTTCTAAAGGGAACAAATTTTTTTGGTAGAAAATGATAAGGTCAATTTGTAATCTTCTGTGTAAATTAAATTTTTGTTTTCCTAACCTTATGTGTTAGATATGCTCATCAAAAAATACAAACGTGGAAGAAAAAATTTGAATAAGCTTTAATCTCTGGGCGTCATTGTGATGGCATCCACTTCGCGCACAATGAGCGTTCACAAGGATCTACATGCCAAGAAGTTTTGCACGTAGATCTTACTCTCTCCCCCTATATAAACTATCCAGCTCTAGTAGTATAATTATTCGTATCTAAATTTTTATCTAATTCAGTTATCTAGTTTACCAAAAATGAATAAGGCTGGATAAATTATCCTCATCTCTTTTTGATAATTTCATGAATGCGAGGAAATTGTATATTAGCCTCTTTATCTGTTGCAATTTATATATGGGATGATTTCCTTGCTTTTTTGGGATGATTAATCTCTAAAATGCTAAGGCTTTTGACAACTATTGTTATGACCCAAAAATTAGATCCGTGATCAGCGCTAAGATTAAAATAAATCAAACCCGCAAGCCTAACAAAAAATCCAAAAATTTAAGTGAACTAATAATCTGACATAAAACGAAACAAAATATAGTTCAAATAATAATAACTGATTTGTCAACACATAAAAGAAAAAACTTGTCTGCAATCAAATGGAACTTCTAAAAACCCAAGAATATAAAGTCTGGCAAAAAATTCAAATAACTAACTTCTACAAACTCAATAGCTAAAGGCAACTGAAAAATGGACTCCTCTCAAGTAGCAAGATTCGTCGGGCTAATGAACTTTGAATCTAGAAAAAATATAACGATAAGTTTACAAATCCAATGAATAAAATATCTATTTATGAGAATAAAGGATATGTATCCATATATAACAAATAATTTACTGAAAACAGATTTACCAAAATTCATAATTTAGGGAGTTCGTAATCTAGAATGTAACATATATGAGAAATTAGGACAACGGCACATAGTCTGTCAAAAATCAAGACGACGACATCTTGGTCTGCCGATAACCAAGACGGCGACTCTCAATCTGTCAGGATACAATACACAAGTCAAAGTACCCAATCTAACGCCTACTGTCATTAGTTATAGCGTTTTAAAATACGAAACTCTCTTAAAACATTTTTTTCTAGAAATAATAGATAGTTTAATAGAGCTTTTTCCATTCATAGATATAAACATAATCAAACTCAAATAACAAATAGTTCTTCTAAAACAATTTTAAAAATTACATACATGTTTTATGTTATGCTTTTATAGTAGAATTTAATCAAAATTTAAAAAATCAGATATATCATAAAAAATCAGAATTCATAACATATATGAAAAACAGTTAATGCTCATAAATACACATTGTTATTTATAGAATCGATAAAAATTAAGAAATCTAATTCTCGCTAACACAAGCTCGACGAGAATCATACAAATAATCTAAAATCATAAAAATAAATAAAAATATTATTTTAGGTTTCTGATACATCCAAGAATTAAATAAATAAAATTCTCTAATTAAGAACTCGAGTAAAATTCTAGATTTTCGTGCTTGAACCCATATCAAGGTTACTAAAGTAAGCGTATGTTATAATGAAATAATATTTAATAGAATAAGAATGGAATAAAAATTGAATTAAATTAAAATTTTTACAAATATATTTGGTACACACTAATAGAACAGGGAATCTTATTTCTTTATTATATTTGATATTTTATAATAGAAGTGAGAAAAGAAATAAAAAAATATTTAAATGTAAAAATACTCTTTATTAGAATAATTAAATAAAATTTATTTTTAAGAAATTATAAATATAATAAGAATTGGAAATTTGAAAAATTTATATTTTAACTTAAATATTAAATTTTAAAACAAATAATTCAATAATACAATAATATATATATATATATATGAATTATTAAAACTTTATAAATTGGCGTCTGATTTTTTTAACAATTTAAATTTTTTATTTAAAATTTTTTTTCAAAATCTCAAATTATTAATATGTTATATAGTTTTAGTATGTCTAGAGTAATCTTGTCATTGTTAAAAATATAGAGAATAATAAGAAATATTTATATTTAATTGATGAAATAAATCACCATTCCCTTGACAATAAAGATTTCCATCCTAATAAACATACCAAACATGATTTTATAAAATTTTATTCCTATTCTAATTCTTTCCCAGGAATTCCATCCTAGCACAAGGCATACTAATTCTTTTTCTCTTGTTCAAATAGGCGTAGAAAATGAATGTTAATTCAATCAAAGTCAAGAATTTGTGTCAAGTAGTTTGGGAACTTAATAAATAAAATTATATATATAGAAAATTTTGTTAATAAAAAGAAAGTAAAATAAAGCATTATTAGAAAAGAAATAAGGGTAGTAATATAGGACATGCTTTCTTTTTTCAGTTATTATATAAATTTTACATTACAAAATTTTGAAAAAGAAATATTTGTTTATTTTTTCAAAAAATATTTATAAAAAAATCTTAATAATTGAACCTTCGCTTCCAGAAAAAGTCTTGTTTAACAGAGGAAAAGTTCATCACAGAATTAATAAAATACATTTTTGTGATGAGTTTTGATAACAGAAATAAAATTTCTCACATAACTAATAAAATTTATGACAAACTCCATGCTTATGATCGCATCACTAAGGTTGCCACTAAATAAAAAAAATTAATTATTATTTGTAACAAAAGTCAATTTAAATTCTATCACTAAATCCGATAATAAAAACAATTCCTTATTATTTAAAATCCGTCATCAAATGAACAAAAACCAATCCTTATCATTGACAAAACTCAAAACCCAATTCCGTGGTACAAATTTTAAAAAAATATTAAATAATTAATCCAAAATATCATCACATCTCATATTAATAATAGTTTATTGACCTTAAATTATCATAATTTCAAAGCACAATTAATATCAACCATTAAATAAGAAAATTAAACACATTTCATTTAATAAAAAATAGTTGTAAAGAAGCACCAATCTACAATATCCATAATCCTTAACTAATCTACTATACATAAGATGCTAGTATCCAAGTAAATTTCAACTAATCAAAAATAGTTATAAGAAAGAATACTAGTTAAAATTAGTTCTCCTTCTTTCTTTCTAACATACCTATTTGACTCATTCTTTTTTAGATCACCTGCATTTTGACAATTTTTATTTTTCAATTTTTATAAAAATTGACAAATATCAGCATGCCAATTCAAATAATTTTCATAAAATAGCACGGGTTTTAAATTTTTTTATATTTTTTGTGAAAATAAAACTGATAGCGATCACACCATTCAACCTTGTTTATAAAACACTAAATTAAAGTATTTATAATTTAAAATTGAATAGAGTTACATAGCAATCAATATTTGCACTTATTATCTTGTATATGCATATTTTAATCCTTCCAATCTATAACTATTTAAAAGAATAATTGAAAATCATTGCAAATTTGTTCTAAACTATTAAAAAACTTTTAAGCCTACTCAAATTAATTTAAATTGAAAGAAATAGAAATTGAAATTAGTATAATGTTTCTTTGAAATTTTAATTTTTATTAGTTCAAACTAAAATTTTATCTCGGATGAAGAATTGTTATTATTTTTAATATTTATTTTATATTCAAAATTTGAATAAATAAAATTTTTTGTACAGGACTACGAGGGTTTGTTAGCTGCTGTAGTGATAAATTCACTGATTTTTTTTCAATGTAAGCCCCAAGTTCGAATCTTTGAATTACAATTTTACACATATTTTTATATTAAACTTAAATCAATGATGAAAAATGTCGTCATTGATTTTGTGTGTATTTATCCATCAAATTAGTGACCAAAATTCAATTTGTTACCTGTTTTATTCCATCACAAATTATAGTAGTCTCTACCTGTGATAGAATGCTATCCATCACAAATTTCCTTCACCAAGGCATACGATAGTGCTTTATTTGCTTTGTTATTTCTTTTCTTTCTTTTTATGATCTCACCGACAATCCAACTCAAAGGAAGGCAATTGTCTTCTTTTCATTTCTTTACAACATATTGAAAAAGATAAAAAGATAGTCACTTCTTTTACTTCTTCCTTAATTGCCAAACATGAATTTATCCTTAGACTGCTATTTTATTTTTGTTTCTTTTGAAATCCAAATTTGTACGTTTTGCTCGGATAGCACTAGAAGTCCCGGTCACCCCCAACTTCTCTTCGGCTCGAATTTGTAGGTTTTGCACGGATAGCAGTAAAGTTCTTGTCACCCCAAACCCATACTTGGTGCGGTAGCCTGGATAGTCAAGATGATTGAAAGGTACCTCTTCCAAGAGCCTGAGACCTTGCTGTGAACCAATTTCTTCCAGGTTCCACTCCAGGTAGAAGCCATACGACTTGTGGGTTATGTGAATTTCCCCGTCTCTCTTTAATCATCTTCTTGGCGTTGGCCATGAACAACCGGACGAACTCCCTGTATCGTCTGCAACAACGAAGCTACCTTTGTAAGAAGTCTACGGAAAAATATTGTAGAACACCAAGAATGTAAATGGATTTTTAGAATGCAATACTTTGCCTCTTCGACTTTCAGATTCAACGACGAAATCTATAGTGACCTAATTACCCTCACTGTAACCCACCTAATCCTAGCCAGCATACAAGTTTTCAGTTGTGGCAATAGAGGTCAACAGTGATAAGGATACGGTTCCAGACTTATGGATAAGAGTACCCAGTACGACAAGTGATTACAACAGTAATTTCTGAAAATTAATTGAAAGAATAAGGTTTTTTCTTAAACATATTTAGTAGTTCAGCAGTAACTCATCCATTATCTGGATGCCACGTTATGGTTTTCTTTTTCCCATTCAACATACAACTAATTTAAGGAGAAAAGTGCAGCGTTTTATATCATATAAGTAGATAAAAATGATACTACCGAAATTGTGACTCTCTTAACTCATTCGGGAAAAAACCATTTAGAGGGAAGTTGAAGACAATTCGATTGAACTTGAGGTGTTGGAGTGATGAATGTGTTGCCATCTTCGTCCCATCCACTTCATGGAGTACCATGGCTCCCCGACTCGTTAGGATTTGAATATTATACATTGCCATCCCGTAGTTATCTTGCAGAAACCTGAGTTGTTAAATTTACATCAGTTTAATATTGTAATAATTCACACCTTAAATAAAAGAGAAATTGCCAAATTTTGTGTAGTTAAATAGTCAATAAAAACTTCAATAAATTAAAATTTGTTACCTTCTTGAGTTTTAGAGAAGTAGCCACAATGTTAGCTGCCGAACCAAATTCCTTCGCCAAGCTGGCAGAAAAAGAGAAGTCCCTTCGCCCACTAGTAGTATGCTCTGTTTGTTACTGTAGCACTTCAACCACCTCTCTTCTTCTTCCTCTTCTGCGCACACAATTACAGAAACAAGCGGAGCAATATCTTCTTCTTCTTCTTCCTCATCATGTTTGAAGCCCGAGTAAACAAACGCACCAAATCTGAAAACCCACTACCGATCGCGAAATCCTGAATGTCTTCGGGCTTGACATGTGACTCAGTGAGTCTGAACATGGTGAATAAACTAGTACTTCCTCTTGGTATTCCACTGGTAGCATCAGTTGATCACTATGCAGGGAAGCAGTATTGCTCGGAGCTCCAATTGACTCAGCAGAAAGCGAGTCTGCACTAGGCAATTTTTCCGGCAGCTCACGGATGGCTGGGGAATTGGATAAGGCGAAAGGAACGCGGAGTGATTGGAGATTGAGTCAGGACTCGGGGAAGGAATGGGGGTTGAATCTCCTAATGACTCGGTAGGTTTAGTGGTAGAGTCGACGGAGAGTGAGCTGGGGCTCACCGGCGGAATCGGCAATTCTAACTGCGGCTCGGCAACTGTGGGGGATTCTGGGAAGGCAAAAGAGATGGGCAAGCGATTGATGACTGAGCTAGGACTCGGTGGAGGAATGGCTATGGAGTCTCTAACTGATCAGTAATTTTAATGGTAAAGTCGCCGAAAAAGCGAGTCAGGATTCGACGGACAAATCGGACGTTCTTGCAGCGACTCCCGGGGGTTGACTGGCTGCAGGAGCCAGGGCAAAGCAGGGAGTCTGAAATGGGTTTTCTTCATCCTCTGCTCCGCCGCATATGCATATACACTTGGCAAAGTTGGAGAGAGCTTGACCCATTTCAATATTCTTCTTCTTGCTGAGAGGCCCCGTACTGGCGGAGGAGAAGACACTCTGCAAGGTCCTCGTGATGATGTATCAGCTTCAAAGTTGTCTTATTGGAAATTTTTATATTTTAATTTTATTTCATTGTGCAAAATGTTAGAAAGTAAAAATAACTCCTTGTAAATTATTTTATAAAACAAATAGATATTTTAATTAAAAATTCGCATAAAATAATAATTTGAAGTGTTTTGTCATTCTGTTCTAATTTTATTATATTTTTTCAGGGAACAAAAATTAAATTTGTTTCTACCAAAATGTCATAGATTTTTACAAAACGTCCAACAAAAATTTACAACGACTTGTGGATAAGCATACCTGGTACGACAAGTGATCATAAAGTGGTTTCTGAAATTAATTGAGAGATTAGGGTCTTTCTTAAACATATTTGGTAATTCAGTGGTAAATCATTCGTTATCTAGATGCCATGTTATGGTTTTCTTTTTCCCATTCAACGTATAACTAATTTAAGGTGAAAAGTGCAAAATTTTAAAGCTTGTAAATAGATAAAAATGATACTTACTGAAATTGTGACTCTTCTTAACTCATTCAAGGAAAAACCCATTTAGGGAGAAGTTGACGACAATGCGATCGAACTTGAAGTGTTGGGGTGATGAATGTGTTGCCATCTTTGTCCCGTCCACGTCATGGAGTACCATGGCTCCCAGCTTGTTAGGGTCTGAATGTTACACATTATCTTTCCGTAATTGTTTTTGCAGCAACCTGAATTGTTAAATTCACACCGTTTAATATATAACTATCTGCACCTTAAATAACACAAGATAAACCTAGCCAATTCCTGTGTACATAAATAGTCGATAAAAAATTAAATAATAAATAATTAAAATTGTTTACTTTCTTGAATTGAGAGATGTAGCCACAATGTTAGCTGCAGAACCAAATTCCTTTGCAAGCTAGCAGAGAAAGAGAAGTCCCCTTCACCCACTAGAAGTATGCTCTGTTTGCTACTGTAGTGCTTCAACCATCCCTCTTCTTCCTCCTCTTCCGGGAGTACAACTTCACAAACAAGTGGATCACTCTCTTTTTCCTCTTCATAGTGCTTAAACCATCTCCCTTTTTCTTCCTCTTCTGTACATACAACTTCACATGTACAAACAGGTGAAGGAATCTCTTCTTTCTCTTTATGTGCTTCAAATATCTCCCCACCTCCTCTTCTGTGCGTGCAAGTCGACAAAACAATGCCAGCAAGTTCTTCTTTCCTCTTCATAGTGCTTCAACAATCTCTCTTCTTCTTCCTCTTCTGAGCCTACAAACTTCACATATGTCTTCTTCCTGTTGATCATCTTTGAAGCCTGAGCAAACAAAC